TTTTAATGAGTCTTAACTATTAGCTATGTCCTATTCTAGATTGTACATAAATGTGTAGAAGAAGCGACATATTGATAAAGATAGTTTTTTTCTCGAAATCGAAATCAAAAAAATGATTGCGTTGAAAAGAAAATTAAAGGATAGGGAGTCCATTAATGAGTTTACTCGTCTCCAAGGTTTCTATTCTTTTCTTACTAGAATACATTGTTTTGACGGTATCGCACTATGTATCATTTTATAACCAATAAATCCCCTACATTTTTTTTTCTTTTTGTGGTCAAGTCGAATTTCCAATAGAGGAATTTCAAGGATATATAGAACTGGATAGATCTCGATAACACTTTTTCGAGAGTATGTTTATGCATTTGCTCATGATAACATGACAATAAATGATTATCAATTTTTTAATGAGTCCTAACTATTAGATAGATCTCGATAACATGACTTCATATGCATTCGAGTAATTAAATATTTCACAAATCAAAGGATTTTGTTCAAAATTGCATATTATGACAATACATCTAGTTCAATAATTGTGAAATGTTTAATTACTCGAATGTATCAACATAATCCTTTGATTTTTTTCAGCTAATGTTTCTATACAAAATCATTTTTTGGGCACAAGAAGAATTTGTATTATGAAATTATCTCAGAGAATTTGTATTAAGAATTTGTGTCAAATAAGGGCATGAGTGACTATTTCTATTTCAAAGAAGAGCCTAACTTTTTTGAATGGTGAGGGCATTTACATCTTTTAACTTTTTTTAAAAAAATTTCTTTTCTTTTCTTTTCTTTTCTCCTAGTTTCTTTCTTTTCTTTTTTTTTTCTTTTTCTAGTTTCTCTTTGTTCTTCCCCGGTGGTCGGCCGGCCGACCACCGGCAAAGCCTGGGAAGGGTTAGGTGAGGGCCACCCTTGCCAGCAACAGACGAGGTCGCCTTTGCTGACCATGAGTTAGCCGGCCCTCGCCCATGGTTGGCGAGGCCGACCCTTGCCCAACTGGCCACTGGCAAAACAAAGAGAAGATCAGAAAAGGAAAAAAAAAAGAAAAGAAAGGAAAAAAGATAAAAAGATAAAATTATTTAAAATTAAAATTATTTTTGGACGAAAATGCCCTTGACCTCGCCGGTCGCCACCGGAATATTTTGCCGTCCAGTGACTGGCGAAGTCAGGCCCTTATTTGAAACTCTCATGGCCATTTCAGGCCCTTATTTGAGATTGACATACTACTTCATATCCTTATTTAACACAAAGTCCATTTCAGGCTCTTATTTGAGAAAATGAGGGCATTTCAGGCATATATTTAAAATTTTCCCTATAATCGCAAAATAATGATATTATGATTTAACGTCATTTATAATAAAGATAATAAATGCTTACATATTCCAATATTAATATGACTAATAGATTACAAGATTTTATGGAAATATAGTGTTTAATAATCGAACTTTTTTTACTGATTATGTTATCTAATGAGAAATTGCAAGAATGTCATATTATTTAGGGAAAATACCACAAAAAACCCCAAACTATGCCACTTGTGACACATTTACCCTGAACTTTTTTTTGTGACATGAAAAACCTCAAACTATGCCACTTGTGATAAATTTACCCTGAACTTTTTTTTTGTGACACGAAAAATCCCAAACTATGCCACATATGATATATTTACCCTACAATACTTTGACCCATGGGCATTTTCGTCTTTTTTCTTTTTATGTTTTTTTTCCTTTTTTTTTCTTTCTTCTCCGGCGAGGGCGATCCTCGCCGGTGGTGGGTTGGGCGAGGGTTGCCCTTGCCGGATCTGGCGAGGGCAGCCTCGCCCGATGCTGGCGAGGGTCGCCCTCGCCGGATCCGGCGAGGGCAACCTCGCCCGACGCCGGCGAGGGTCGCCCTTGCCCGCCCAGGCGAGGGCGACCCTCGCCCGCCCAGGCTAGGGTGACCCTTGCCTGACGCTAGATCTGACGAGGATCGCCCTCACCGGAGAAGAAAGAAAAAAAAAAGGAAAAAAAATAGAAAAAGGAAAAAGACAAAAATGCCCATGGGTCAAAGTATTGTGGGGTAAATATGTCACAAGTGGCATAGTTTGGGGTTTTTCGTGTCACAAAAAAAAGTTTAGGGTAAATGTGTTACAAGTGGCATAGTTTGAGGTTTTTCGTGTCAAAAAAAAGTTCAGGGTAAATATATCACAAGTGGCATAGTTTTGTGTTTTTGGTGGTATTTTCCCTATCATTTATGCTAAAACGAGATGAAAATAATCATATTCTGAACAAATAAATGGTTCTTGACGTATTACATCTTTGATAGACCAAAGAAAATAAATGAATTGAAGTATTTTTACTCAAACATAATACGGTATGTATTTTTTATGTGTATAATTCGCTTCTCTCCAAAAGAATGGGCATTTTTTCGCAGATTGAACGAGAGGGGTAATGACGAAGAAATAGGTATTTGATGGTCCGGATGCATGTGTTTTGGGCTCATATGAACCGTTTGATCGGGTGAGACTCACTTGGGACCCCCATCATTAAATGATTCGTGCAGGTTAGAGCGAAGCCGAAAGACCGAGAGATTCAAGAAAATAACTAAAACATCGAACTACTTCAACAAATTTTCATGCCATGATGAATATAAAGGGCACTATTCATGATTACAAAAAAAAATCTGCCGCCCTTTTTCTAATTATTAGAAGACTTTTTTTTGTCCATTTCATTCTCGGTTTTCTTCATTTAGCTAAGCTCATTAGGTCATATCTGTGCAATGTCATACTCTATAATTATAGTTGCTTCCTTCATAAAATTATGAGGGTTTCCTATATACAATTTACATTTTTCTAATCTCATCTTTTCTTATTCCTCTGACACAATTTCTGGCAAGATTTATTTTTGTTACCCACTGATTTTGGAACTAGTGATATACATTATCAATTGTTGGGCTAATTGTATAAACATCCCCGATGTTGTTACTTTTCATGTCAATCACCCTCGTCACAATTCAAAATCTATAAATTTGCGCATCCGCAATTTGAAAAGGCCGTTTTCATTAATGCACACTCAAAATCTACACCCAAGTTCCTCTTCCCCTCTCTTCCCCAGCCCCTTCTCTCTCCTAACACACAGTAGCCAGCCCCGCAGCGGTCGACCGCTACTTGAGGCCACAGCCCAACCTCAACCTCGATGACGACGACACCCTCGCCCTAGCCTGTCGCCCGTGTCCCTCTCCCCACATCCCGGTCTCTATATGTGGCGAGATCGTTCGCTGCTTGCGATGGAGAGACACCACCCGAGCCTCTGCGACAGAGTCGTCAGCCGCTCAAGCTCTGTACCAAAGCTCGACCATGACAGTTATGGCCACCAATGACCTTGATTCGGCCTAGAGCTGGCGCAGTGACCGTTGCCGATTTCAGATATCGCTTTTCACTCTTCACCCATAATCGATTTTTAAATTATAAAGACTCGGTGTAATAAATCGTACCGGTTCGACTAAAAATAAAATTTCAATACCGGCGCCGCACTCGAGTGCCTAAATTTTGTTTCCTCGCGTGCAACGCGGAGCGAGCTGAGCACGATATCGATGACTCATCATGGAATTGGCATGGGACTATGGAATTACGAAATGCTTGATTGGTAGAGCTTGACATATGTCAAGCGTGATATGCGTGCATCCAATATTGCCTTGCCGCGAAGGCCAAGGCAGAACGAAAAGGACTGAAAACAGAGGAAGTGACGATGTGTTGGACGGGTTTTCCGTTTTTTCCACTCATCATATGACCAAACATGTTGTGGACAAAAGAAACGGGGTCCCATTCACACTTCATTGTTGTAGCCCCGATGGCACGCCATCCGACATCGCCAATTTTATGGGATACTAACATAAATGGTCTCCGACTTTGATCTAATATGCAATATTGTCTTTGAATTTTTAGCCGTGCAATGTTGGTCCCTGAATTTTAGCTTGATGCCTATATGTTAAATTTGTTCAGTGTGGTCTCTGAACTATTGATAAATATTCAATGTATTCCATGGACTATATGAAATTGTTTAAAAGTTCATGGATCATACTGGACAAATTAAAAATACATAAATTATTGTTGATAATGAAAATATTTTTTATCGACTAATTATTTCAAGCGATATAAGCTATTATTTTTAGGAAAATGTTTTACAAATCATATATTTTCCACTAAACAAATAAATGGAGCCTTGATCATATTTTATCATGTTGAGCAATGTCTTAGGGAGCTAGCTATCATCCATTTACTCAACCTTAGTATCTTGTTTCTTGATCTAGTTTAAAAATATACGATTTACATCATAACTTAGGATTCCGAGGAATATCTTTCTTTTTTGCTAATGTCATGAGATCATCCCTCTTGAAATTTGAATCGACAAATTTCACGCGTTTCACATAGTAAAAGCTTAACATGATCAACTCAAGTTTTGCACTAACATTGCATCTATATAAGTAATAAGCACACAATAAAACCGTCAATTCATGTCAGCATGTCACAATCGTATTGATTCGGATCGATATAAAAAAAAAAAATAGGTTAAACACGTTTGGTCGGGCCGGCTCTTGATTTTCTCTCCGTGTTTCGGGTTTCCACTCCTACGCTGCCGCGTAAACAAAGGTACTTAATATCGCTGATCCGAAGACATGCTCTGTATCTCATACTTAGGTCATATATCAACAAAAAAACAAAAGAAATAAATCACGATCGAGCTTTATTCTTCACTCATAATCGACTTCAGAATTATAAAGACTTATGTCAATAACCATATCTTTAATTGGATTCGAATGCCAAATTCTAATACTTAAATTGTACTGTTTGGAAAATTTTAGAATTTATAATGTATTTTCACGAAATTCTTTAGAATTCTTGATGCCCTTATTCTCTATTTCCTCCCAAAAAAAATGGACAGAAAGTACATTTATTTCCCTGCTATAGTTTTTCCATTTTATTCTTTCCCTTTTTTTAAAAGGAAAAAAACAAAAAAGAATTCCTCTGCGCACTCCCCTCTTGCCTTTCGGCTTTCCCTACCTGGGACACTCGAGAGAACCGCCGGAGGAACAAGAACTTCGTAAACTCTGATGTCCCAAAGCCGCCGCCGCCGCCGCCGCCGCCGCGAAGAGTGACCGGAGATCTCGCGATTCGAGGAAGAAGGAAGAAATGGCGACCGCCCTCGTCGGCAAGAACGCGACCCATCGGCCCCTGAGCCTGCTGAGGCAATCGTTCGGTTTCCTCAGGAACCTCAGCGCCGCCTCCTCCCCGCCGCCGTCTCCGGCGAGCCCTTCCTCTTCTTCTCCTTCCTCTTCTTCGAAGAAGCCGAAGCGGAAGAAGAAGAAGAACCTGTTCGAGGTGGCTCAGTTCCTCCCCAACTGGGGCATCGGGTATCACATGGCCAAGGCTCACTGGACCGGCGTCTCTTACCAGATCACCAAGATCAATCTCTACAAGGTGGGCTCTTCGAATTTTCTTGGGGGATATTTTTTAAATATGTTACCATGGTTGATGATTGATTCGTCTTTACTGGGTCGTGCTTTGTGGTTCCTGGTTCTGAGGGTTTAGGGTTTATGTGATGTGTTTTGGCAGGATGGGAGGCATGGCAAGGCGTGGGGTGTCGTTCACAAAGAAGGTCAGTTCTGAATTACATGCTTGTGATTTGTGATTTTATACTTCATTGGATGATGATTGAATACTTTAGAAGCTGTATGGGGAGGAGATTTGACTTGAGCAGAATATGCAATGCGGCATAACTTCAGTGCAGCGCAGGCCTGTTAGTTCGATATTTCGAGCAGTCTCGAAGTCTTTCTTGTGCACATTTTCTCTCTGTGATTGTTTAAGCATCTGCAGAAGTGACATTTTTCTGCAGCTTCTATTAGTTTCTATGGCTTGTCAGTGGCGGAATTTATCATAAATCATGAGGCCGTGAATCTTATTTACTCTATCGACCAAAGAAAATATCTATCGGTGGTACCTTAAATAGAATCGCTATGATGCCCATCAAAGTCTGACATTTCCACCCAGGAGCTGCTTTGCTATCTTATGATAGGAAACCTTTGAATCTCCTATTACCTTCATCAGCCTGGTTTTTGAAGATAAAACCTGTCTAAGACCGTTCCTTGTCCAAGGAGAGCTTCTTCATTGACTTCCAAAGTGACAAGCTAATGCAAATCATAAGCAATTTCCAATGGCTCTTAAAAAGATGTCAGCAAGATCATGCTGTATTGTGGACTTATTTCTTGTTATCTTATTGACTTTATTATGAAGGGAACCGCACAATTGAAATCGGAAGATGTAGAAAGTTGGAATTAACTTATATTTTGTTACTTCCTGAATTAACCTATATATGGATTTCTCTTTTCCTCTATTTCTTTTGCCATCCCCGCGGAAAGGAGGAAGAGGTTCCAGGGGAGAAAAGAAAGATGGGAGTTGCTCCTTCTTGAATGGAGAATGCTTTTTAGCTGTTGTGGCTGGTTGGTCCCTTCCATCTCCAAGTTGGACTCAGACATCTCGCCTTTTTTTGGTTGTAAAGCAATGTCAAACCAAAAATACCCAACAAGCTTTAGCACTCCCTGGAAACTTTTCCTGTATGCAATCTGTATGTACTGGAAACTTGTGAGAAATGCGCCTCGCTCATTTAGGATACTTGTCGAGGCAATGATAACTGCTAAAAGCTTGTCTCGTGATTCCTCGTCCTCTTGAAATTCTATTCCTTTGATCTGATGTTTAGGGTTTACTTGACATTCTTGGTGCTTCACTCAGGGTTGCCAGCTGCCGATGCTCCCAAAAAAATAAGTGGTGTTCACAAGCGCTGTTGGAAGTATATTCCTAATCTGGGAAGTACATCTAGTAGCCTTCCAAGCTTGACAACGCCAACAGAGACACCACATCCTGAAGCCCAAGCAGCTTGATATTTGTTTGTTTAGAGTTCACCGGAATGAAGCTTTGAGGAGTCTGTGGGCTTCAAACTTTAGTTTATTTGACGAGTTCTTGGTGACGGTAGTCCAGATTAGCTCCTGTATTCCTGCTGAGAACCTTCAAGAAATGTTTTATGATTTTACTCTCTCATTTCATTTGGTACGGGCCTTGAATTGGAGAAGTAGGCGGGTGTTGACAAATGCAGATGGAAACATGCCACTGGATAACTTACTTCCGCATGTTGTGGCTTCTAGATAATAATTTGACCGTTCTCTCAGAGAGAGTTATGGCCAGTGCAAATGTAGGTTGGCATTGCTGTCGCCACAGGAAACGTATGTGAGGCTTTTTGGGTTCATGGCTATGTTAGACAACAGCATAGTGATTTGCATGGGAATAAGTTCTTTTTTATCCCTGTCATGACAAGTCTTGAGATTCAAAGCCTTAACTCACCATCCTTAAAGTCTCCTCTTTTGAAGAAGGGCATTACTTAGGGATCACACTTAAAGATTCTCAAAGATAGTGTGCAGGGTAGAGAACATTGTGGAAGTTGTGGACACTTATAATTGTACAGACGTTATGAGGGGAAGCACCATATTTGTCTGTGAAAAAGTGAGAAATCTAACATTGTATCCTGTCCTTTTAGCATCAACTCAAGCAGAACGGACCTTATTCATCTTAAAAAAACTATATTCAGGACTCTTGTGCTGGCGTGAACCTCACCGATGTTCGGGAGGCGGCTTATGAGGGCTCCGACGAACATGAATGCTGTTTTGACAAAAATGGACCTGCCTACTTTATTAGATGGTCGCGGTACAAATTCTGTGAAACTCTTTTCTGGTGGGGGATAAACATGAATAGCACTCATGCCGAATGCCTGATGGTTCAATGAGTGTCCCGGCGAAATAGGGAGAATTACCGCAAGGCAAAAGAACCATCACGAAACCGGGAAAAACTGTTTATGAAAATCAATAGAGTTGACCAATGTAGAACCGTAGTAAATATATGTGCTTTTTCTTCACCAATCGTAAAAGTAACTAGAGGTATTGATGGATGGATGGCAGTGAGGGTCCCCGAATTTATTGCCTTTCAAGGTATTTTTGTGTCGTCCTAGGTGCGGCATAGCCAATATCTGATATGTAGAATTATCTACGTTCGACACAATCCGACACGTTTATAAGCATAAATATTTGATAAATTTATAAATGACATGAACTGGGCACAGATTCAAAATAGATTGATTGGAGAAGAGACTTGGAATGTAAAACTATCACTCCACGATGGAACTAAGTATTAGTTTGACTACTATTTCATGTGTGGCGTTAATGCCATAACATTAACAAACAATATCGAGTGTTATGATCATTGCACAAAATACTTGCTTGAGGGAAATTAGACAAAGCCATTATATCATTATTGAAGGACAGTGCTAGATCCACTATCAAGAACCACCGCGAATTCATAGTGGAAAGACTTGTTCTATAATCATTAGAGAACCATGCCAAATGAATGTCCGACCATCAATAACTGATTTACGAATAGTCAATGCTGTACGGTTCTCGGAGCTACACTGAAGGGAAATAATAGGGATCCGCAACACGGCTATCTTCAGCTCGTGTCATTATTGATATACTATCTTTCAGGCTTTCCCATGTTCGATACCCCCGTTTAAGAGATTGTATTGCTCTCCTCTGCTCTTGCTTTCCTTGTCCTTGGTACTCAATGGTAGGGATGGTGAATATGTAGCTGCCATTGATCTATCAGGCATTTCTGCGATAAAGAAACAGTAACAAATTACTAGAGCATTCCATACAAAGGTAGCCACGTATCTCAAGCAAGTTTCAGAAAGACTAGCATGCGATTCATATTCATCACCTCCATGCATAAGTATTACCTTTCAGTAATATATCCATACTTACAGTGAAATTGCATGCATAAACAACAACCTACCTGGCAATTTCCTGTCGATACAAAACACAACCAGATTTACAGTATACCTGCATGGCAAATAGACAACTCTTAGTCCAAAAGACGGTTAGTTTCCAGAAAAAATCCGCAAAGGTCCCAATTGAATTGTTGTTACCATGCAACAATGATGTCCACTGTATAATGCTTACGAGATGCTATAATTAGCAGGCTCTGAACCACCGCAAGTAACCAAGCAAACTGCTTGATAAACCTGCAAGCAAACATAAGCACGTTACCAATAAAGAAAGGAGCAGTCATGGAAATAAAGCCACCATTAAGCCTGATGACTTATGTTTGTCCAACTACAGCAATCAGGGGCTATAAAGGACTAATTTACTTGAGAAATCACATGATTTTTGTAATGGACTACCTCTTTGTGCCATGCTTCTGATATGTGTTGACAAAAACCAACGTAAAGATCATGTGTGATGAAAAAATCAAGTCACCACAGCCATAGAGAATCCCTCGTGGAACTGCGGGCAAAAAAAGAATCACATGAGCATCAATGCATATAATGTCAATGTGAATACATTTTAACACTCACAGTTTATTAAGACCACTTCAAGCACACTTCTTGGAGGTGGTAACGTGGCAAGTTCTGAACCCTGAAGAAACCAATCCATTTTATTACAATCATGAGGAAAAAGAATCACCAAGAACCAAAAGTAACAATTCCAATTATGAAACAGAAAGATCAGAGAATATTACTGTATCCTACCTCACGGCAATGGTAGTTTGGACCAGGTAACTGAGTTGAATAGAATGTAACAATCCGGAGAACTTGAGAAGCCTAGAAAATCAAGGTAGACCTAAAGAAATTGTTAAGCAGATACAGGAGGATACTGTGTTATTCTTAAATCAAACCAGCGGTGACACAAGCATGCAAGTCAAAAAATGTACGAATGGGGCAGGGACTGAACATGCAACAGATTATAAACAACAGCGTATTAGGAAACCAATTGGCTCATTTGACTCATAGGTCAATGGCAGGGGGTGAGTGGGTTTACACACTGACATGGCGAAGGGGCACTTGCCACTAAGCCATTCCTAGGGATTATAATCAGGATGGTTAAATATAGGCACGAACCATCAAAGAGGAAGCGAGGGACACACAAAAGTCTAGACTATCCAACTTTCACCGGTTGCCATTTTACAACATCCCAAGAGAACCATTACAATGCAAATGGTGACCAAAGATATAACTATAGAGTAGAATCTTCCTAAAGAGTAACTTCACTAGAAAGTCCACTCTTCATGTCCAACTCACTTAAATGGTGCTTTGGAAGATAAAAGAAGCAGCTAATGCTTTTCCAAACCATATTGCTAACCAACTTGACAAACATCACCACTCAACCAAGCAGAAGCAAGTCCCCTAAAATGAGGTGCACTTGCTAAGCATGTCCATTTGAGCAGAAAAAAATTGCATGAAAGCAAGGAAGACTGAAATTGGTGAATTAATTCATCAACACAAGAAAAGAAAAATTAAATTGCAGTCGTGCAATTTCAGATCAGATATTGCCATATCATTTTTTTGGCCAAAAGATATCCCCATAGATTAAGCAGTCAACTTTTTCATTATCCTTTTTTATGCTGGAAAAAAAGGTGGGCAATGTATGGAAAGGTTCACTGAAAATTAGTATAGCAAGATTCAGCATGTTAAATTTTCCTACAGCAATTTTCCATCAAGTGACTGCTCTCCACAGTAATCAGTATCGAAAGATGCAATTAAAAACCTGATGCCTGAGGATTCATTCACAAACTCGCAGATATAAGAAAACAACATGAAGCTACAAATGTTTCAGAAACATAGATTACACTTACAACTAAATAAGCAAGAACCCTGCACCACATTAGGACTGTATAAATTTTTTTGTTCTGGTATATGAACGGGTGAAAAGTCCACTGCAACAGAAAAAGGTTTCCGTTAGTTAAAAACCAGAGTGAAGAAATTGCTAAAGAAAAAAAGACTATTGACATAGAATAGAAATTGAATAAGTTGTCACACTTAATGCTTGGAAAATTTTTTACAACAACAGCAGACGAGCATAATCATGTCACATAACAGATAACAGTCACAACAGTAGTGGAGTTTTATAATCATGTCACGTAACAAATAATGGTATATATAACCATGATAATTGAGTAAGTGAAATATATAAGTTTTTTACGACGAAAAATTAAAGCCATAGACAAGGGAAGAAATTATGCTGCCACACAGAGTGAACTCATCTTTCGCCTATTACTACAGCCAATGGAATTTACCTATAATGATGCCTCTTATCTCCTTATACATATACAACCACCAGTCTTTGGGACATTATCTAACTTAAGTTATACGAAAGAGATTCTTCAATAAATGTAGAAATAGCACCAGAAAAAGCAAGTGATGTTAAAACACACCCTCAATGATATAATTGAAGGTAGATATGGAAAAAACCCTTAAGTTGCAGTTTCAAAATTATTCATGAACAAATGAAAAAAATTTCAAAAGAATTCTCAGGAGTTCATTAATTACTTTGCACAGATCTACATTTGCTTGGAGGAAAAAAGAAATCTGTCTAAGTTTGTAAAAGCCCAGATGCACATTAACTTCTTGGGTTAATTAAAAAGCTGTGCAGATGCCACCTACAACAGAATCACCATGTCAACTCATAGAATGGACCTTTGAAAGTATATCTAAAGTAGAAGTACGATAGTTTTCTGATCACCGAAAGAGAGGTACACTTATTTCTAACTTCTAGATGATAGGCAATGATAGAACTGCAATCAGGAGATATGATTCCTCACAGCATAAAAAACTTTAAAATCTTACCAAAGCAAATGAACAGAAGATGCAGGTAAACAAAGCCTCGCTGATATGACCTTTATCTTGACCAAGTTCCTAAAATGCCATGACGTGAGAAACAATCAGAACAAATCAACTTTTTCCAATGATTACAGTCTAGATGCGAATGGGAAAAGTACGCTTACAGGAATAAGAAGAAAACCAATGTCCTGAAGTATTGGGCCTGGACGATGCAAGTAGTGAACTCCTCTGGCAGCCAATCCATGAATGTACTGTCAATTATGGCACAACAATCCAGCATCATTCATGCAATTCTCAAAAAATCAATTTTTTGATAAGATGATAAGAGCGTATACAGGGAAGAGAAGTGTACAAGTAGCTAAGAAGACAATCGAAGTATTTAATTCAATGTGACTTAAGACAATCCCTTATTCCATACAGAAACGAACTTTCATGAAACAATCGAAGAAATATAAATTCCCAAGTGAACAGCAGAGCATGGAGAATTATTACCACAGCAACTATTAGAGAGTTATACCCCTCATGCTTCCTTTTAATCAATCACTTTCCAAAACATACCAGAACCGATAACCAACAATATTGTAAGCATTCCAAACGACGCAGTTTACTGGAGAACAGAAATATCCACCGTGCATGCCAGTGACTTATATATCAGACACAGACGAACAAATTTGGCTGATATTGATTCTATACACTCGGGACCATCACAACCAATTACCAAAAAATTTTCATTTTTACCGATTACCCAAGGAAACCAATATAACTGATTGAACCTGTAAACACAGACCTATCGAGCTATCACGCTGTAATTTGTGCATAGCATCACAAAACACTCGCAAAACAGCAGGCGAATAATCAAAGGCAGGTGCAAAAGCGAAAGCCTCAACCTTCATTTATTTAAAACCTCATTAATTAGTCTGTCGCATTCAAGTCGAGGTCCATTTTCGAACAAGACATAACCACGACTTTCTGAGGACAAAGGACAGGAGGCAAAAAACCTGGAAAACAAGTCCGCCGAGGAGATACTTCCAGTTCTCGGCGAGCAGCGAAATCTCTATCGACACCTCCGACCAAATCTTCCTCCACAACTTCACGCACAGAAAAAGACGACGTACGCTCAAAAACACAGGCCAGGCCTAAAAGCAAAAAGCGCGCCCGCTGAAATCGACATGGGAGAATCCCGACCAAGTTTACCTTGGAAGCCTCGCGGCGAACATAGAGCGGCATCTCTCGACGGCCAGGCTAGAGCTCGACATCGATCATCGTTAAAAAAAACCTCGAATCCGGTACCAAGTCCCCAAGCGCAACCCTCAACAAGCCGCCGCCGCCGCCGCCGCCGCCCCCCCGGTAAAATCGGACTAGAACCGCCGGGATATCATAACGGCGGATCGCGATCGCGCGATCGGATCGGAACCGCCGGCCGACCCTTCCCGCTCCGATCGAAACCCGGGATTCGCGATCGAAGCGGAACCCCGCTCCGGTCGAGAGGGGAAGAAGTAGGTGTGGGGTTGACCGGGGAGGAGGGAATCTAGAGGGCGCGATTATTTCCTCTGCTTTCGGCTGCGCGGAAAGCTGCTTTTGAAAAAAAGGAGCTTGAAAGTGTCGCCGGACGAAGATGACGCTACAGAGAGAGAGAGAGAGAGAGAGAGAGAGTAGTTATTATACTTTTCACGATGGGGGCTTGACTTCTGACGGCGACCGCCACGGCGACGGCGACGGCGACGCGCGGGGAGGTTGGGGGGCGATTATCCGGTGCTTCGCGGCCCACTGATCTAGCGCTGGCATCGCCGATTGTCAGCCGCGAGATTCGATCCCGTCTGCGCCGGGTCTCGCCGTTGTCGCGCATCCTCGTGGAGCCATCATCGCCGACTCGGAAAGTCTCGAGCGTGGGGGCCCGCACGTGGGATTGACATGCCTTGGATTTCGCGGGGGTTTGATATATCTGGTGGGCCACCACACATGTGAGACCCGCGAGGGTTATGGACCGTACATTAATTTTTTTTTTTTGTGTGTAATTCGACCTTCATATATTCGAAATGTGAACGGATGCAGAGATCCGTAAGACTTTCGCGGATTAAGAATAGGGGTGCGCGGCTTCGAAGTGGGGCAGATTTGAACATTTGAAATCTGAAACCTACTTGTCGAGACCGCCCGCTCCCTATATGTAGACCTTAAAACCGGTTTAGAATCACCCCTAATTAGGAGGGCAACAAAAATCTTTCAAATTATCTTCATCAAATGTTAGCTACTTATTGTAATTAACTGTTGAGCATATAATAGATGCGAGATCCGAGAACACTCGGCCGTCGGGGCGCCTCCAGGCATGCATGTCCGTGCCGGCTGCCGAGCACACCGTGCAGGGGCGAATGCACTTTCACATCATCTTTTAACCGGAGATCGTAGCGACCGCGAGAACAGACAGACCCCGAAGTATGCCGACGTAGCGAAATAGAGTCACTGAGAAATATGCACACTTACATTATGGAGAGAAGAAAAATAGGAACAGGTCTATGACTACAGATGGCATCGATACTATTTGCCAGAACAAGGGGAGAGAGAGAAGAACTCTCGGAAGAAGGTCCCTGTTATTATCCCGGAAAAACATCTCCAGAGTTTATCATCTTGCTTAAGGTTTGCCTATAGAAAGGACCCGCCAGGCTTAGAAGGCAGGACCATACTCCCGTATATTTTGTAGCTGCGACGTAATCTGCGAGGATTGCGCTAAACTCTCCCGACGGGAGAAAGAGGAGGATAAGCGACATACTTTGCTGAAGCGTCCCGTATGATGTGATTAGGAGGTCGAGCGCCACCTTCGCAGGTCGATATGGTCTTGCCGAGCGGCTTTTCTTCAGCCGCATTGTGCGTTCCTGCACGCTCGATCAGTTTTCTACTGTCCAAGACCGCAATGCATATGGAGAAAGCTTGCAACACCGAGAGAGAAGAACTAAACTCGACTGAGAATATGTTATCCTTGAACGGAGCCAAAATAAAGGCAGGCTGGTTTTCCTGTGTGTCCACCTGCAGATAAGGATTGATCATAAAAGCAAAGTCAATAATTGATTCTACCTGCGAGGCAGATGAATAATTAGCAGACGCCTAAACAGAAAGAGTACCTGAGACTGAGAGAAAAGGGCGAATTGGTCAGACGAGTTCGATGAACTCAAGTTCTTGCAGAGATGACCATGAGTGCCCAGTATCTTAAGTTCACAACCCATATCCCAACCCCCACAATCACAAGAACCACCTGATTTCCACCTCTGAATGAGCGATGAAGGTCCTCCTTTGCTTGGTAGACTATGGACACCGCTCGGAAGTATCACCGTTGCGCTAATAGGCACTTCATTAACCAGGGGATTCTGATCATCTGGATTTTCTCCATTAGAAGAATTACTTAGCCGATTCTTGAAGGAACCAACTGACTCGAGCTCTGATAAGCCATCGCGGGCATTATTTTCAGGCCCATCTTGGGCCGAACTTTTTCTCCTAGGCCATGGGATCTGGGCAACAACAGCTGCAAGCTCATCCTTCGGTTGGAAATCTGTTGTTTGTTGATCTTGCAGTCTAGTGTCCACAGCGAGCAATACATACTCCAGAGAGCCATATTGATCTGTAGAAATGCCTGATTTCGACTTTAAGAAGCAGGATCCAGAAACCTTCATCTGAGCAACGACATCAGGGATGTAACCCTGACCTTTGCCCCTATTTCCTTGACTAATCCAACTTCCGCTCTTTTTTCTGGCTTCACGAATTGTGAAAAATGTATACATCCAGCTGGATTTATCTGCTTGCGGGGAACTGCATTCCTTCATCGTGGCTGCAAGAATATCACTGTCATTGTCAACAGCAAACGAGAACAAAGGAAGGCCATTTTTATACGCAACCCGAAGAAGAGCTTGCACCGGCAATGATCCTTGCCTCTTGTTTAAATGGGAGTCACGGACATTGATTGTTTTGCAACTAGACAAATCCAACTTCAGTTTTGCTGGTTGTCCAGTCACAGAATCTGATTGACTATTTAATGATGTGCACAATTTATCCTTAGAAACTGAATGTTCCTGCAATGGATCACTGCAGTGATGGATAATTGACGACTTTGGCTTCAGTATTGGGTCCAGCAACCTTCTCAAAGGGCTAGACCTGGATCTTCCAGCAGAATTAGACTTGTCAGCGCGTGGATTTTCTGGGCAAGGGCAAGCAGAGGATTCAGCATTCTCTGGTACAAATTTGGCAGAAGCATGTTTGGCATCCAATTTCCCTGAGGTCAAACCCTCTTTTGACCCGGAATTTTTCACTATTTTGCCCATACCAATGCTCAATCGACGAAAAGGGGACGTGCTTCTTACCTTCTCAGTTGTTACATCGCCTACTTTTGGTTCTGATCCCCTCACTGCATCTGAAACCATTGGCATGATACTTGGAATTTTCGTATCTGAATTTCCTACTCTAGATGTACAAGAAACCCCAGCTGACCGTTCTGGTTGACGAGACACATCCGACGGAAACTTTGAACTCCCTGCATCCATGGAGCTAGGCCTTTTCATTCGTAATTGGCTGTTACAGTCAAATTCAAGAGGCAAGGGGCAAGTGCAAGAATGTTGCATGTCCGAATGGAGTCTTGCATGATGAGTTTCCCTGGATCTTTCCAGAATACCCCTTCTACTTACCTCTGATAATTTCTTGTCGGAATGTGTTCTCGACTTCACAAGCTTGGATACTTCAGGATTAGCACGATTTGGCACATCTTTGGGCACGAGGAGAACCACTCTATTGGGTTTTTCTGTTAATTCTGGCTCAAAGACACCAGAGTTTGACTCTTGGGTCCTTTCCAATCTCTTCACAAAATCACGTTCTTTAATTTCCGCCTTCTCAGCGGAACAAGATCCCACCTCGGCGCTTCCGAAGCATGGCAGAGTTTCAGCGTTCTGAATGGGCTCAGGGTCACACCTACCCTTTTTATCCTCCATCTTTTCCCCTAAACGGATCTGAACTGTTCCGTTGACTTCATGCTGCGCCTGCCGGTAGTCATTCTCATGGCCATCTTTCAGATCTTTACACTTACCGAGATTATCTCTTAAAGGCCTCACAGACGACTGCACATCCATATCTTTGGGAGAAGATAGCAGCTCAGATTGAAGCGTGGAGCGAGGTATTCTCTGGTGTATGGGGGAGCAACTACGACCTCTGCTGGAATGGCTGGACGATCCCTCCACCGAGAATGAAGAGGAGGTGCTGCTACTAGACGTGGAATACCTGCTATATCCGGGCACTGTCTGTTTGTGACTATGCTGCCATTTTTCAAGACGTCGCCAGTCAAGAACTCCAACGCTAAAAGCTTTCTCCTGGATATTTTTCCCCTTCTCAAGAAAAGCTGGCAACTTCGACATGTACTTAACCAGCTCATCATCCTCGGTTGTATTTCTTCTGATCCTGGCCTTTTGTTTATCCTCCAAAGGATAAGTTGGTACATCTTCAACAACCTTTGTGATTTCATGATGGAAATCAGCATTTGACAAGTTAGCATCTACTTGGAACCTTTCCTGCAGATTCATACTGCGATAAGCATGAGTCTTCCCATTTTCTGTCTTGGGCGCTTTCTTAACTCCCGAACTCTTGTTGAGCTCTGAACATTCCATACTTCCAAGGAATTACTTATCTAAGACAGCATGATATTTTAGCACCTCAGTACCACATTATTTATCCCTTTCACCAAGCCACCACTGTATTCTTTAATCTTTTAAACCTCAATGCCCGGAACGACGTAGCTCACAAATGTCTCTGGTTACATTAACTGCAAACCATAGGTAGATTAACTCAGTAAATTGGGACTCTACAATCTGATAAATGATAACAGCAGTAGAACAGATCAGCACCAAGCATATTACAAGAGAAAAGGCACATGGCTATGCAAGCTTATTTGTGTCGTAAGAGATAAGGCATTCCACGTATAAAATGAAAAACTGAAAGTGGCAAAGAAGATATCTGACAAGATAAAAAACAAGTGTTCAGGGGAGAGATAAGGGGCATATCCAGACACCATTAAGGCAATGGAGCAGCCATTCCACAAACGAAATAGATGCAAGTACAAGCATGCAATGAACTCCCAATAAGAACAGTTCAGAAACTTTTCCCTCAGAACCATGAGGTGATGCGCTGGTGCATAGCTAGTTAATTTCTCCAGACTCAACCAAATTTTCTATCTCTAACTATGTGCAAACTTCCCAATATATTCTGACCAAAAAAAAAAAAAATTCCCAATACATTGGGGTAGAAAAAGAGAATTTGCCAATTTTCACTCAACCCAAATATAATTTGTCGATTTCAACCTAATCCTAAATAGATTTTGACTAGGTAGGAAAAACTGGTCGGCTTGATGGAGGGTATACGGAATAAATTGCATAAAACAAGTATCTCTTGTGGAGATCAAATTCCTCACAGTCTGTTAGACTGTTATGACTTGCTTAATCATTTGAAAATCAGATTGCAAATCCTTAAGTGGCACTCGTTCTTCAAACAAAAACCACAACGTCAGACACTCTGTACCTTAAATAGTTTGGCATACAACAGAACGCCGCCTAGAGACCGCAAATATCTAAACCTCGACTTTCAATGACATTCGCGAAACAACCATTAGCATCGATAAAGGCATCATCCAGTACTTGCGGAATCACCATGACTTCTCTCCACTTTGTTTATTTATCAAATCTTCTCTTAGCACATACCATACCATACCCGACCAGACAAGATGTTTTCGTATGAACATAGATAAACTCACAATCATGGACATGGAGACTGGAAATCTCAATCAGACGTGGGTATGGCAGACGAAATGAAATAGACGCAAGATAACAATTAGCGACACAGTATACGTAAGAAAAAGCAACCAATGAGCCAAGTTGGAACAGCACCAGCAGAAATTGGGTGGTCCTTGAGCACCGAATCTTGAAGAGCTCAAGATAAGAAGAAAGTGAGCCGTCGCAATCGAAGCTCAGAGGAGGGAGAAAAAAAGACAAGATCCACACCAACTGAAAACACAAATCACCCATTTCGAAATTTGAAGAAACCGTGAACAGAACAAGAGAAATTAAAGAAGGAGACAAGGAGAAACCATGAAGTGGCCCTGCAAAAATTTTCAATCTCGAGTCCCGAAACAGAGGGTGGTTTTGTCCGAACTTCAAGAAAAGAGGGGAAAGAAAAAAAAAACAAGGCAATCAGTATGCGCTGAGATGACCGCACCCAGCTCCAAAAATCACGAAACAAAGACGCACTTAGCCGACTGAAAATGCATTTCACGGCAAGAAGAGGGAAAAAAGAACATTAACATTGCCCAGGAAACAACCGGAAACTAAACGGGACATTTCTCGCTCGAGAAAGGGAAGCAGCGCGTACCCATCAGAGATTACGAACTTCCGGTGTGAAATGCCGCCAATAACGACGGCCACACCACCTCGAAGGCGGAGCGAGGCGTGTCGGTGGTCGAACTGCGCCCACTGCAAGCTCGCAGACAAACGAGACGGAGAGAGAGAGAGAGAGAGAGAGAAGAGACGGGGGAGGTGAGAACTGATGTGGTAACAACAGCAGCAGCAGGCGGCCTCGTAATCGTAATCCCAATCGCCTCGCCTTTCGCTCCCTCCCAACCCACCCCAAACTCCAAAGCAAGATCCTGAGAGAACGTCAAAAATGACCTAAAAAGTTCCCAACTTTTGCGTGCCGCTGTGCGAGAAACCTGCACGTTTTCGCAGAAAGAGAGAGACGGAGAGAGGAGAGAGCGAAACAGTCCCGTGTTCGTTCGTTCGTGTGGCGGAGCTACTTCAGCTGCGACAGTGTACATTTGTAAGCTTGTTTTGTTCTCATTCGACCGAATAAAAGTAAAGAAATTTTGCTTTTGTGTCGCCGTATCTTCCTTCGTAAATTACTCGTCACGAAAATGTTTTGGCGCCCGTGACAAATTCTTCTTTTAGGAAAAATCAAAGGCAACGCCCCGCGTGAACAAAAAAAAAAAGAAATGGTAATCACCAAAAATAAAATGAGTGAAATGGATGGTTACTCTCAATACAGGTTGATGATAATTATTTTTTCCCTTTCTGGCGAGGTGCTAAATTAATTAACAATTCGAAATTGATTAGAACACAGTTTTCTCCTATTTTTCTCTCAACGTAATTATCCCTTCTTAGCTCTATTTTCCTAATTTTTCTCAACTCTAAAACGGTTTTTTGCATCAGTGCATTGCTGCAAAATGGTAAAAGTCAGTATCCGCCTGGCCTTCATTAACTAATGGACGTGAGGACATAAGGATGGATGCCAAATTCGAAAGTTGGCATTATATGCAATGTCCGTGTAATATTGTGTAGCATTTTCAAAAAATAAACTTACATCACGATTGGTTTTTTCTTTCGTGCGGGCATAGCTTGTTTAGTATGCAAAGGCATTTTGTAAATGGTTAATACCACCAAAAATCTCAAACCCATATACCTGTGATAAATTTACCCTCCGTTAGTTTCCTTTAAATTTTACCGTTAATTTGCTGAGTTTGATGACACGTGACAATTGATGGATATACCGGTTTGGGGCTTTACCCTTCATTTGTCACAGTATACCAGTTTGTGGTATTTCGTGCTATTAATCTAATTTAATAGAAACTAACGAAGAATAAATTTGTCACGGATGTACAAGTTTGGGGTTTTTGGTGGTCAAAAAATTAAATTAGGGTAAATTTGTGTAGGTATACTAGTTTTGGATTTTTTGTTATCAAAAAATTAGTTTGGGGCAAAATTGTCAAATGCGTATCAATTTGGGTTTTTTTTTTTGTATTAACCATTTCGTAAATCAATTACGGGGATATGCGAAGAAATAAATTACTACCATACCCTTTTGAAGTGTTTAAATGAAAAGTTAAACTGCTGATGTTTTGAAGGCGATAATTAGCTTGCCATACTTCGTGCGTATTCACACATAAGATTTTTTCATAAATAAGTGTTACATGAGTTGAGTTTATTTAATTAAACCAATGGCATTTTAGGACCATATAATATCCAATTAAAAGGAGAATGGAAAAAGCCATAAAAAAACTTGAAACTATGCTCACCATGACATATTTATCGCAAACTCTTTTTTTAACATAAAAAACTCTAAATTATGTCTACCGTGATATATTTAATCTAAACTTTATGATGTCACGTAAAGAATCCTAAATTTATATTTATGCGATACATTTACTTTTCATTAAGGTCCGTCAGATAATTTTTCAGATGAAGTAACGAATTTTTCATCATGTCAACAATGCTTAACATATTTTTATTAGTTCTCATGAGTAAATGAGTTGCGTTATTACAAAAAGCTTAGGGTAAATGGATTTCGTTTGTTCAAAAGATGAAAAAATTCAGAATCAATATCAAATCAGGACGTCCCATCATGAAGACGTGGAGAGCATATTTTGGGAGGCCCACATCGCCAACTCAATTTACTGGAGAAAATTTCATTTTGATATTCAAAATAGGGCTTTTTTCTCAATTTGGTATTCAAAGTGGATATAGTCCCAAATTGGTACCTAAAGTGCTCATTCAGTCTCAATTTGATACCCAAAGTGCCCATTCAGTCTCAATTTAGTACCTGAGTTCGCCGGCCAGTCAAATGCTCACCACGCGCAGCAAGAAATTTATTGTTTCGACTTCTTGGAACAGTATTTTACTTTTTTTTTTTTTTTTTCTTTTTTTTTCTTTTCCTTTTCCTTTTCTTTTTTTTTCCTTCTTCCCTCCGCGGCCACAGCCATGGTCGGCGGAGGTCACCCGGCGTCGGGCGAGGCCGCCTCGCTGGGCGGGCGAGGTCGCCCGCGCTGCGTCGGCGAGGGCCGACCCTCACCGGATCCGGTGAGGTCGAGGGTTGCCCTCGCCGGATCCGCGAGGGTCACCCTCGCCGGCGCCGGCGGGCGGCCCTCGCTTGGGCGGCGAGGTCGCCCTCGCGGCTCGGGCGAGGGCCGACCCAGGCGAGGGTGGCCCTCGCCCGACGCAGCGAGGGCGACCCTTGCCAACCCAGGCGAGGGCCGCCCTTGCCCGACGCCGGCGACCTCCGCCGACCATGGCTGTGGCCGGCGGAGGGAAGAAAGAAAAAAAAAAGAAAAGGAAAAGGAAAAGAAAAAAACAGAAAAAGGAAAAAAAAATAAAAAAGTAAAATATTGTTCCGTAGCGGAACAAGAAATTTCTTTCCAAATGATGAGCATTTGACCTAATAGCGAACTCAGTACTCAAATTGAGACCGAATGGGCACTTTGGGTACCAATTTGAGACTATGTCCACTTTGGGTACCAAATTGAGAAAAAGACCCCACTTTGGGTATCAAAATGAAATTTTCCCCAATTTACTGTTGTTTTTTATTTATCGGACGGGGGGTGGGCTGTTCTATCAATGGAAAATGACACAAACAGTCTCTGAACTTTGACTCAATGTGCAATTTGATCCCTGAACTTTTAATTTGTTCAATGTAGTCCATGAACTTTAACCCAATGTTCAATATGGTCCCTGACCTTTTGGTATATGTTCAATATAATCCCTGAACTTTATAAAAATGTTCAATATGGTCCTTCCATTAATTCGAGTTCAGGGACTATATTGTATATTTTCATATATTTCAAGGACTAAATTAAACATTTACTAAAAGTTTAGGAATCAAGTTGAACAAATTGAAAGTTCATGGATCACATTGAACATTGGGTTAAAGTTCAGGGACTATATTGAAAAAATTAAAAATTCAGGGATCAAATTATATATTGAGTCAAAATTCAGGGACCGCTCGTGTCATTATCCCTCCTATCAAGAAAGACTTTGACGTGAAAAAGGTTTTTCGCGATTTAATAATTGGTGGCGGTGGTGGGGTCCGAGGTTCTCTTTTGATCGGGGGGGGGGGGGGGGGGGGCACGCTAGGTGGTGAGGGGGCCCCACTGAAGGGATTTCATGTGACTTTTGTCCATTGGTCCCCGTGGGGTCATGATGGTGGGAGTTGAGCTGCTGAGTTATTAGTAATACAAAAATAATGATGCGACAGAGCGTTTTCAGGCAATTGTTTGTCCTTTTCCGTCGTCAAAGAATCAACGTTTACGTTGCTTGAAATAAATAAGGGATAATGACATAAATAGTCTTTAAATTTTAATTTAATATATAATTTAATTTTTAAAATTTTTAATTTATTTAATATAGTTCTTGAATTTTAGGTCAATGTTCAATTTAGTCCCTGAACTTTTAATTTATTTAATGTTATCCTTGAACTTTTAGTTTATGTTCAATTTAGCCCTTGAACTATATGAAAATGTTCAATATAGTTCTTGAATTTGAATTAATGAAATGACTATATTGAACATTTTCATATAATTCAGGGACTAAATTGAACATGTACCGAACATTTAAGGATAACATTGAACAAATTAAAAATTTAGAGACTACATTGCACATAGAATTAAAGTTTAGTGACTACATTGAACAAATTAAAAGTTCATGGACTACATTGCATATTGAGCCAAAGTTTAAGGATTATTTGTTTCATTTTCTCAATAAATAATTCATGTCTATATATTTTGTAAATAATGAAATTTCATAAATAATCGTTTTTCGAAAAATATTTTTTAAAACGTTCATTTTTCACACAAGGTACGAAATATTCTCCAATGTTCTCTCGGAGCCTTCTTCCTGCGTGATTTTGTCTGGTTCCCTGACAAACATGACATGCTTCTTTAGCTGAGTAAATAGGCTTCTTTGGATAGTTTGGGATCACTAGTTGTAGGATCAAATTTTTTTCATAAAAATTATGTTAAAATCTACATGTCAGAAATTATATTATAAAAGTATCAGATGTTTTGGATTAAGAAGACCAGAATGCAAATGAGATTTAGATTAAGAAAAAACAGTTAAAATTTATCCAGATGGGTCGGAGATTTTTAGTGTGCGAACTTGTCTCTTTTGTGAGTGTCCTAGCCTCAATAATTCCGAATGCACAGTCAACTTATTTGCTTTTTTTTGCAAGATCTTTGGTCCAATTATTGACTTGCTGTTATAGGGCAGCCTAATCATATGATCTAGCTCATGAAAGTTTCACTAATGGACATCGGATTCCATGGGCACAATCCTATGAATGTAAAGCAGATGAAAAAGTCTAAAGAGAGTTCTGAAAAAAAAGGGCACGCCCATTTTGTTTTGGGCTGATGACCAATTGCTACTTTTAAAGTGTTAGTTTCATCTTTTAGATTTGTTTTATGTGAAAAGTAGAAGCACGCAAAAAAATACATTTCGAAAGTCGCAATCTAAACTGAATTGAAAAGAGAATGGCAAGATCATATGTTCAGATCACGACGTCCCTCACCCCATAACAATTTTGAGGGCCACGCACGGCCCAGATGTAGTTTTGCCCGATAAACATGGATACAACGATTTGTGTGCAATCGTAGAGATAATTGATTTGAAAGAGTCGAATATCACATATTATAAGAAAGGGATTTATACAACATACTGACATAAATCCCTGCCGATCTCTCTTACTCCCTTCTTTTATTTTCCATCTAATCATATAAGATAAACATTTTCCACAATCATATTTCTCCTCTTACAATCATCTCCACCAAACATGGTGCAATCTCCGCAACTAAATTGTCCAAATTGTCATCATAGCCTCATATAAAATAACCCAAGAGCTTCCCCACGTAATAAATGCTTAAAGACTCTTTGAGGGATTGCCATGAAACCAATACACAAAAGCAAATCAAAAGAGAAACATATAAAAAGATGCAA